TTTACAGGCTTGTACCAAGCTCTGCGTGCTCATACAGACCTGTGCTGGGCTTTACAAAACTGTACAGACTCGTACCAAACTCTAGGAGCTCGCAAGTGCCTGTGCTGGGCTCTATGGGCTCATACAGGCTCATGTCTGGCTCCACAAGCTCATACAGGCCTCTGCTGCTCTCTACAGGCTCGTATAGACTTATGCCAGACTCTTCAGGTTTGTACAGGCTCATTTCGGACTTGAGCTTGTACAGGCCTGTGCCAGGCTCTGTTGGCTCATACGGTCTCATGCCAGTCTGTACAGACTCATATGTGCCTGTGCCAAGCTCTATGGGCTCATATGGATTCATGCCACTCTCAACAGACTCACACAGGCCTATGCCTGGCTCTACATGCTCACATAGTTTAATGCCAGGTTGTACGGGCTCATATTGGGCACATGCCAGGCTCTACAAGCTCATATGGGGCTGTGCTGGCCTATACGGGCTAGTAAAGGCCTGTGTTTGGCTCTACAGGCTCATTTGGGTCTGGGCCGGACAGGCCAGTGCTGAGCTCTACAGGCTTGAACAGGCTTATGCCGGGCTCTATGGACTCATTTAGGCCTTTACCAGGTTCTACTGGTGGTAGGGGCTCATGTTGTTCTCAGCAGGCTTGTACAGGCATGCGCCAGTCTCTATGGGCTCATGCCGGGCTCTGTAGGCTCGTATGGTCCTGTGCTGGGCTCCAGGGGCTCATACTGCTTGTACAGCCTGTTGCTCAGCTCTACAGGCTTGTACTGCTTGTGCTGGTTTCTAATGGGTTCGTTCTGCATGAGGCTCCACAGGCTCATACAGGCCTGTGCCAGGCTTTATGGCCCCCTAGCACCCAGCATCACCCCATCCCCCAGGGCCCCCACGATGTCCCCAGGATTCCCGTGTCTCGAAGGACCGCTGGGATCCCCCAGGGCCTCCAGGTTGTCCCTAGGGCCACCGTGTCCCCCAGAACCCCCCAGAGTTTGCATGTCCCCAGGACCACCAGAATGTCCCCAGAGCCCTCCCAGATCCCTCTTATTCCCCAGGATCCCCCAGTGTTACCCTGCCCCCCCAGTCCCCTCAGGATGTCCCCAGAGCCACTCTGTCCCCAAGAATCCTCATGGTCAACCTATCACCCAGGGCCCCCAGGATGTCCCCAGGGTCTCCCCGGGGCCCCCCAGAGTCCCCTTATCCCCCAGAGCGCCCTGTCCCCCAAGACTCCCACGGTCACCCCCTTCACCAGGGCCCTGGGTTGTTTCCTGAACCACAACGTCCTCAAGGACCCCTGGGATGTCCCCAGGCCACCCCATCTCACAGGTCCCCCAGCCCCCAGTGGTCCCAGTTCTCCCAGCAGCTCCCAGTCCCCACTGGGACACAGCCCCTGGACACACACACACGTCACAGAATAGCCAAGATTGGAAGGGACCTCTGGAGAAAGGGACCTCTGAAGACCATCTAGTCCAACCCCACCCCTGCTCAGGAAGGGTTGCCTAGAGCACATTGCCCAGGATCGCGTCCTGGCAGGTTTTGAATAGCTCCAGAGGAGACTCCACAACCTCAACCACGCACATACACTCATATACCTACACACACATATGCCTGTGCAGACAACCATGGCTGCACATATACGTGTGTAAGCACAAATGTGCAGGTACAGGCACAGCTACACACGCAAACACACATATGCACACAGGCACGCACAAACACACATGCATACACCCAGGTAGGCACAAGCATGTGTGCATACCCATACCCACCCACACACACTTGCAAGCAGTCGCACACCAACATGTACACACACAGACATGCATGCACACACATTTTTTACATAAACATACATGGACACACACGCACACAGCCGCTGATGCAGGAACGGCCATAGGTCGCCACCCAGCACAACAGAGTGACGCAAGTGAATCACAGCCCCACCACGTTGCATGTGTGTGTGAGAGGGTCCTTGCACGTGTGCATAGCAGCATTTGCACGCATGTTCACGTTTGTACACATGTTCACATGTCATGTGCCTCTCTGCCCATGAGTGTTTCCACCTGTGCATTTTTGCTGGTGTTTGTGCAGTCGTGCATGCAGGTCGTACACGTGTTTGCATGCATGTGCATGCATCTGTGTGCACATCTACTTACACATGCATGTTTGTATTTGAATGCATGTTTTCACATGTGCACATGCTAGTGTGTTTGCACATGTGTGTGTTTGCGTGTGTGTGTATTTGCACACATATATTCCCATTGCATGCATGTGTGCACACGTGTGTGCGCAGCAGGCTACACCAGTGCATATCCTGCTGCCATTCAGTGCCCACAGCTAATTGGGATCATCTCATTAGTGGGGATTAACAGCTATCTATAGACAGCTGGGGGGG